AGATAAACAATAAGCCGTAATAATAAGCTAAAGTGAAAGCTAATAATAAGATATTCATAACTTCTTCATTAAGATATTAACACTGCTGTTAAAGCTTTCTAAAAAACTTGCGAACCTTGCCTTTTACTTTGAATTGAAGAGTTGGATGTATTTTTTATATTTATAAATTTGTGTCCTTTTCATAGCATATTCAATATATTAGATTTATTCCTTTAAAAAAAAACTGTTTTTAATTTTCTTTACTGGCATTTTACTTGCTTGTGATAAGAATAACTAAAATATTAAATAAATAATGGTTTATTGATTGGATTTAAATACAATTACAGGTGTCGGATTTAAATAAAATCCTAACTCTCGGAAATAGGACTGGGCTATAAATCGATATATCGCGACATATCGATTTAACATCTGTATCGGCAGGCCGATACAGCGACTTTCGTTCCAGGCGATGCATCAGAAATCTGATTTAAGCCGTTGAGTAGAGAAGACGAACGATATAGCGATATACGATATAGCGATACAAGACACGCAATGATCTCTTACGTTCCGATGCCAACTCGCGCTGGGGAAGACGATGTTCGTATCGTTATATTGAAACGGCCTTGATTGATGAGCGGTAGAATCAGAATCAGTTTTGAGAACATCTATCGTGATCTCGCATGTTCGTTTCCGCACCTCTTAGTTTTTTTTCCTTCTTTGTCGCGACTTGATATCGTTTCTTGTAGATTATTTTCAGTGGGACTGACTTTGTGATCGCCGTCGTTACCTTGTTCTGAACGTAATCTATTATTGAAAAGAATATATAAAGAAGTGTTTCTTAATTAATTAGGTAAATTGTTTTTTTGAAACAAAACTTTCTTTTTTATTTTTAAATGTGAAAATTAATTTTGATATTATATGTTTAAGTATTATTTTACATTATTGAATTTATTACAAACGGAAATCTAATTTAAAGTGCCCATAAAGAATTAAATTAATAAGTAATTAAATTTGTTAGGCTATTTTTTACTTTATTTTAATTTATTAAAAACTTTTTGGATAAAAAAATAATTTAATGGGTTTTTATTACTGATTTTAAATTTATAAATCTTTAGTTGTTTTCATTTTTATAAATAAAATTATAACAAAACTTATTTTTCCTCTTTTGGATTTGGACATAAGTCAATCAACTTTGTTTATTCAAAAAAATTAGTAATGTTTGCGATTGCGACTTCTTTTTTTAAAATCATTTAGCACTTCGTTTTATTAAAGAGTATAATCGTGTTTTTTAATTTTCTTTCAATATTGTCAGTTGAATATATTATCGAATATCATAATTCTTTTGTTTTTATTTTTAAGAAATTAAACCTTACTTTGTTTTTTCGTTCAGAATTCGGTAATTATTCAATTTAACTTTATTATTTATGTGAAATAATAATGATAAAAAATAGTGTTGTTTTAAAAGTGTTTTTTTTTTGTTTAATTTATTTAGCACTTTGTTTTAAGCATACAAATAATTTTTAACGAACTTATTTTTTAAATTTTCTTTCTATATTGTTAGGTAAATATATTGATAAATTTCAATTTTATAATTTTTTTTATTATTTATTTTTAAACTAAGAAATCTTTCGTTATTTGCGCGATCGTTTTTAGAAAATATAACAATATCTTTCTTAAGCAAAACATATACATCAAATTCATCAATTGATTTAAACCAATCTGAGTATGAAGTTTTGATAGAAATCCGACTTTCTGCGCCATACAAGTAAATGAATTTCAAAAATACTATATCGCGATGCAGAACTGACGATGCATCACGATATAAAATTTCTTATATCGCCCAGTCCTACTCGGAAATCATATTAGCTTTCTCTGAAAGGTATTTCCCTGGAACACCTTTTGGGAACCGTTGTTCTATATCAACGGTTCTCAATTTTTTCCCGCCACTGAATCCTAAATGAAAGATCATCTTTTGGCGGAACACAAAATATATAAATAAAATTTAGTAACACCTGTAAACATACCAACCTAAGAAAGATTACTAATTATTTTTACGGTATTTAATGTGATGAGTGAAATTATTTTCAATAATTGTTTTATCAATTACAATAATCGGTGTTACGTCAAGCCGTTGAATTCGCAGCCTGGAGTCTTATCTAGGCTAGTTCTTTATTTGTTTTTGGCTCATATATTAGCTGCAAATAAACAACAAAAGTTGTTTCATTGTTTTCGAAAAAGAAATCTTATAAACGTTGAGAATAGGTATCAGAGAAAGATAACTCGTTTTCCTTGAATTCGGTCATTTTATTTAGAACATAAAAAACGACAAGACAAGATGTTCGACAAGAACTGTGGAAATTTTTTTAAATAAATTTTGCAGTTTTTTTTTTCTGGCATTTTATTAGTGAAATTATTTAAATTAAATTATACCTAATATATAAGAATATGATTTATTGTTTAGATAAGATTATAGGTTTTAAAAATCGTTACTGATTTAAAAAATTTAAACTTTCTGAACCCCAGTGGCTTTTTCATGGAACCCTAGAGTACAGTGGAACATTTGGGAACCGCTATTCTAGATTACGGTTGCTTCTTTCCTTCCACATATTTTGAGAGTTAAAAATCAGAGTTGATCAAAAATTTAATCACTTAAAAATGGCTACTTTTTAAGATAAAAAAAAAAATATTTGTATTCAAATAATTTTGTATACTTTTCTCCCAACTGTGGGACAACCTAGAGATGTCTCCCATTGCATACTTTTCATATTCTCGCAAGACATAGTTTATAGCACCATTTGTTTCCGTTACATGGCGTAAGGACTTAAAAAAAGACAACTTATTACTTTCAAAATATTTATTGTGAAAAATGGAATTTTTTCATCCTTATATCAATATTATTCTTAAAATAAGGCTTTATTTCATGTTGTTGAATTCGCAGATCTAGAAGAACATGAAATCTAGTTCTAATATTTTTTTTTAGTATGTAAAAGTTGAATAAAGCTAAACTAAAGATTTTGTTGGAGTTAAAAATGACATTGTGTATAAACAAATAAGAGTGATTGGCGCAGTGTAGCCGCATATGGATTTGAAACTGAATCCTCTTCTATTAACTGACAAACAGAACCCGAATTAAATATTAATTTTTTTTCTTTCAAAAAACAATTGCCTGGAGATGTAAACAGTTTCTCAATTTTTGTTTAAGCTATAATTTTAAAAACAGATAATAACATATTTAAATATATAAGCTTTTAGTAGAAGGTTTCGAGGAATTTAATTTTGATATTTAAAAGTGTTTTAAATAATATTAAAAAATAATTAATTCTAGTATTAAATACTATTATTTCTGTAAAATACTAATCTAAGTACTATTTTTACTGAAAACAGTAAAATATATTATTGCTATTTTTTTTAAAATATTTCTCATCTAAATAAATTTCGTGCATTAAAATATGAAAGATTTTAAATTATAAATTTGCCCGCTTTGAAGCAATTAAAATTATTCTAGGCCTCTGAGCATTATAGTCTCATCTAATTATTAACGCCAAAATATTGAAAAATAAATAAGACAAAGAAATGAGAAGACAAAGTGGCCTCTCATTTTATAACTCTCTGTAGATAGATCCAAGATTTTTCACATCATATTTTTTTTTAAAGACATTGCCATCTTTGATTTTAGGTTAACTTTTTTAACTGCGTTTTCTTGATATTTTTTGTACTTAACAAACTTTTGAGGATGCAGCACAACTACCTTTCAAAAAAGGTCGGATATAAAGGGGTCGTTTTATTAGAATAGGAGAAATAGAGTTTGATCATTTTTAGAATTTCTGTGAATTTTTCCTCAAAATTTTAAAGCAAAATAGAAAAAAAAAGATGCGATTTATGGTTTGGAATCAATAATTTAAAAATTACAAGTTTCTCAGTTTTTAGATTTTTTAAAATCTAACTTTTCAGCAGCTTAAATTGATAAAAAGCGATTTGGATAACGCAAAAAATTGCCTTTGACTTGAATTGCATGAAAATAAAAATACTTATCAAAAATCTAAAAACTTTTAACTATTTAAATATCTTTCAAAAATTGTTGATTGGAATACTTTGGAGAGAAAAAATTAATAGAGAATCAAAAATAACGCCTGTTTTATATCTCGAATTCTGATTGAGCGATGGCCTTATATTTTACATTTATCGAAAGATAGAGTAAATATCCATCATCAGTTTAATAAAGACAAGGCCGACTCTCCGAGTTTTCGCAACAATCATAAAACAAAAACATGATTTGCTTCGGAAAATGTTTTAGGGATCTAACACGGACTGTAGTGCCAGGGAGTAAGAAGGAAGTAGCGCATAAAACCAATGAAAGATGGCTAACTAATGTTTCACATTAAACCTTTCATTTATAATAAATTATGTAATTCGTTAATTAATTTTTTCGATATCAATCACTTTTAAATAAAATTTTTATAAAAAAAATCTTATTATTTGGTAAGTTTACAATTTAACTCAGAAAAACGTCTGTATTTTAATTTAAATAATTTGTCCAGTTTATACTTTAAATATTTTAATACATTAATATTCAATGTACAGTAAATATTTCAATTTTAATAAATTTGCAATGAATAAAAATAATTTTTGCAATTTAATAACATAAAAATATTTTATTTTTATGTTATATTTCTAATTGCAGTATAATTTATTTTGAATAATTTTATACATAAAAATTACACAAATATCTAAGACAAGCGAAATAAAGCCAAATTAATTTTCTCTATTGTAAGACAAAGCGAAAGATCGAAAATGGAAGCTGTAAAATATTGCGCAGAAAATTTCACAGAAAAACAAATTTACAAAAAAATTTCTACCTCTATCTTTCTAAGCATTTTTAAAGCTTATATGTAATGGCGAAAACTATTGGATGCTTACTTAGAAAGCTCCACCTTCCTTTTTTCTCGTCAAAAATTACTTTTCAAGTGCGCATGTGCAGTCTGAGTCATCTCGTGGCAGCTGCTTCGTTCAGCTGAATTACTTTCTTGCGCAGCAATAATGGCAACAGGAAATCGATGTGTACAGGAATTACTCTGAGATTTGTTGTCATTCAGCTATTCATTTCAGGGAGTAATCTATGGTGTGTCATTCACTTTCTGTTTTGAAAACGTTTCCAAAAATTCATGGATTGTGAATTACGACAATTTACAAAACTTAAACTAGCTTAATTTTCTATTTCACGCCAAGTATAATATGCGATTTATTGAAAAAGACCATCCAGACTTGGAACAAAGCACAGTAATGGCGTTCGCTGCGATGAATTACGGAAGCCGTTCGCATGGCAACCATTGGCAGCGTAGAAACCATTGTTTTGGTAATTCATGGCTGAGTGTAATTCACCATGAACGACGATCTGTGCGAAAAATTTTCCATTATTACTGCAATATGGCGAGAACAGATATTTGTTGTAGTAAACTATCCTGGATTCTCCGATGGTAAGTCGAAAATATTACTTAAAAGAGTTGTTTTACTTGATTTTAATGATCTTTAATACCTTTTATTACTATTTTAGCTTTGAAATTTGACAATAATATGTAGAGTAATTGTTGATTTTCACAAAATTTTCGTATTGAAATGCGGATATAACATGGCGACGCCACGGATCGCTAAAATCCATTTATTCTCGAAATCGCAAATGTAATTCTTTAACAATGAAATTTCTCTCACTGCTGTTGATTAATTTTGACATGTAAATTTTTTTTTAATAAATATTATGATAAAATTACTCATGATTTTAGAATTTAAATATTTTTAAAAAATATAAATTCATTGGTAATGCACATTGTTGATGGAGTTTGAAATATTTGTTGCATTATAATTTTAAAATTTTTGCATCAAGAGAGCATATAATATATAGAATGATCTGCAGAAATTTTATAATATTAATGCATTTTAGAATAAAAATTATTATCTTTATGCTTAAAATAATATTTATTTCTATAATTTTATTTGTAAATGATAATGGCTAGGAGGTGACAAGTAAGCTGCATTTTTATATTCATACATTATAATTTAGGTCATTTACATTTTAAGCTGTTGTCAAATATATATTGTAGTATGTATTATTTTTATTTTTGTTTGTTTTTTGTAACTTTTATTTTTGTTTTATTTTGTATTTTTCAAACATTGTGCTGTTAATGATAGTTAAATTTTAAAATTAAAAAGGAACGATTTCAGAAATAGTTTGTGATTTATTAATACTTTGTTTTTCAAATAAAATTTCTTAATTCAAATGTAGCATTTTTAAAAAATCTGATATGAACTATTATCTATATCTGATATAAATGAACAGTTATAAAGCTGTTAAACAGTATAATAGGGGTGAACAGCCTTTATGGTAGAAGCCTGCTACAGAAAATAATTATTATTTTTTTTTTGGGAGGAGGTGAAGAATTTAATTTTTGTACTATTTAATAATGACTTAATTATTCTTTCAATCATAAGAACATGTCAGTTTGTTTTATTTAAAGAAAATTGCTTTTAAAATATACCTACTTAGTATCCTATATGTTTTAAGTTTAAGTAATTAGTTTTGAAGATTTATGTTAAAATAAAAGGTGAGTCTTTGTTTTTTTTAAATATAAACATCAGTGTTCTAAGCACTAAGTTTTTTTTTATCAGTATACTTAATAACATATTTTTAGAAAATTAAATACTTTTTTTATTTGAATTTATTTTAAAAAAAACTGATACTTTTGTAACTTTTCATTTTTCTTAATAATTTATTTACAAAAATACAGGCATACATAAATATTGGGAGGGGGTATAAATTCTAAGAAGAGAAAAAAAACTGTTCTACTACTTGCAGAATAAAAGTGCAAAAAAAATCATCTAAGCCTTTTATAGAATAATGAAAAAGTGATGAAGTGAATAATGAAAAAGAAAAGATGCTAAAATTTTTGGAAAGATTTTGATCTCAAAAAACCATGTTCTGAGATAATATTAGGCTCTGAGAATTTTCTGTATACTGGCGTATATATACATGATAAATTTCCAATAGATCAAGACTACATACAATATGTTTCTTGATCAGGGGTCTGTCCAGGCCAAATTTACTACTGTTTAGTGCTACCTTCACAAATTCAACTTTAAGAAAAAAAACTTTTTCTTAACATTTTATTTTGTATCACATAGGAAACAATAAATCTATACTTTTGTGTTGATTTTTTAATATAATTTTTAATTTTCACAAATTATGTCTAAATTTTCACAAAATAGGTACGTACCTCTCAGAAAAACCTAGACAGACCCCTATTGATAAGTATCCTACTAATTATAATTTACCAAAAATATAAATTTTCAATTAAATGAGTTAATAATTTTTTCGATCAATCAATTCAAAGATTTAAAGGTACAATCAATTCAATATTTTGTTTAATTATTAGAATTAATTTCCTAATTACATGTTACTTTATTATGATATAGTTTTAATATATTTAAATATTTTAATATATTTTGTAGTTTTTTTATTATCTAGTCCATGCAGCTCAGCATCAATCGAAAGAATTGTCTCCTATTTGTCGTATTTAAACTGAACTGAAAATTGGAATTTACGAGAGTACAGAGGGTTTCAAAACCAATTTTTTGTGATCACATGCTTTGGGGAAATGAGAATTTCAAATGGGATTACAATGAAAATTGATTTTACATATAATGAATCAGATGATTGTTAAGTGTTTCTTTTTACGAGATGGTTTTATTAATTTTTATTGTAAATAATTAAGCAAATTAACGGGTTGGATAAATTAGCAATTTTTCACAATTTTATGACACAAAAATTTGGATTTTTGACTAATGTCAAAAATTTTGTAATAAAGGGTTTATTGACATGGCTGTTAAAACCATCAATTGTCAAAAACTTGCCAACCCAGGAAGCAGATACCCCCCCCCCCTCCTGTCAACTACACCTATGGTGGAAGCATTTAGATGTTCTAAAAAAAGATGTTATAATATTCATTTCATATTTTATATCAGGGGTTTCCAACTTACATGAGGCCGTGGGCCACAATTAAAAGCGCCACTCAAATGGCAGGCTGCAACTTCATCAAAACTTTATATAAGACTCTTTTATGTTTGGGAACATTAAATATTACTGTCAGATTTTTATCAAGTTGTTCAAAACAAAAGTATTGAATTAGAAACGAAAATAAGAAGTAGATTTTTAAAAATATTTAATTGCATATTAAAAAATTCCTAGCTACAATAACTTTAATGTGCACCTATGTATTAAACAATTAATGTGCTGCAGATATCAAATAGTTAAGATATAAGACTTTAAAAAGGTTGGTATCAAAACTTACATAGTAGCACACAAAATGTTCAATGAGAGAATTGAGGTTTGTCTGCTGCAACCACCAGAGAATAGATATTTACATTTTATATTTAAAATTTACAGATGTAAATAATTTCGTCCAAAATGAGTGGTTTTGAAAAGTTAAATCGGAGAATTTCTTTGAGAAAACTTCTGATACCCACATGCTAAATTATATTTACAAAATACAAAAAAAAAACAACAAAAAATAAATAAATAAAAAAGAGCAACATATGCAATTATTTTTGTGTTTGAATAAATTTTTTTGCACCATTGGTATGTTAAATTTCTAGAAAATGAAGAAATTAATTTTTTTTTTAATAAGAAAAGTTTTAAGCCAATATAGATTTTTAAAAAAATTGTCCGTAAAAAAATGGCAACTAATATATTTTAGTTCGCGGGCCACAAAAAAGGCTTCACATGCCTCCAGTTGGTAACCACTGTCTCATATCAATTCTTTTCAAATTTGCTATAAATAATCTTTTTTTTTATTTAGGCATTTTAAGGTGAAAACATAACCTGAGCCTTGAAACTTTCTGCAGTGGACTTCACAACTTGTCTTGTAACACATTAAATGCTCTAATGTAAGTATTAATTTTTTTTCAGGTTGTACAATCTGTTTTTTCTTCTTTTTTTTAATTAAATTTTCTAACAATCGCATGTGTGTAATAAATAACTTTGCCATTCAAAGTTTTAAGACAGGTTTAAAAACTACCTGTTTGTTGGCTGAAAGTGACGTTAATAACGAGAGATTATTCAGAGGAGCATAGATTTCATTAATAATTTATTTCAAGTATTTAGAAACTAGTAGTTAGTTGTAATTCAGTTTTTTCCCCTTCTAATAGAAAAGGAACCTGATACTTAGATATAAAATAAATATGATTTTTCTGTAATTATTATGATTGTATGTTTAATATTACAGTCTTACAATTAAGTAATAAAAATTACATTTTGTGAAAGTTTCTGCAAAAATCTGTCCTGATGTACCAAAAGTAATGAAGTTTTGTTATCAACAAATCTATAATTTTTCTATTTTTTAGACAATTTTAAAAACAGTAAATAATTTATATTTTTCATGAACTATTGATTTTTTTTCAGTTTCCCTACTCTTATACTTGCATGAGTTGCAGGGTTAGGAAAAATTAAACCTGTCTGCATTTCTGTCAGGAAAAACTGTAAAAAACTGAGTATTTTCGAAAAAAGTCCCCCCCCCCCAAGAAACAATGAATAAAATTGAGCTTTTCAAAGACAAAACAACTTTATTGAACTAATTTCTTTCCAGAGAAAACAACATTCTTTATTTGCAAAAATATATTGTTACAGGCACTTTAAAGCCTAAGTGTATAGAATATTTTTAACTTATAAAGCAGGTTTAAATGAATTGTATATCTACTTTATTATTCAAAATTCTTCGTTTATAATATTTATTCCATATCTGTTGTAGAGATATCTTGAATGAAAAACTTATTTTATTTTTATTTTTTTAACAATTCAACTCATTAACTGTTATTCCCCCAAGTTTTAGATCCTTTGAGCACATGTCCATTACATTTGGCAATGGTTCTGGTTATTGATCTGTATCACTCTTTGGAAATTCCGTATTACTAGGGTCAGCCTGGTACTTAATAGGTATAGTTTTTCTGCCTACCTGCCCAGTAAATGAACTGAGACTAGTGGTACACTGCTCTCAAATGGTCCTTTTTCCCCTCCAAAGTCTGTTTTTTACAGTAAAGTCTTTTAGTGATTTGGTCCTTTTGATTTGAAAATTGTTTTAAAGAAATTTTCCAATTTTTTTAAAGTTTTGTTTCGTATTAACTTTGAGGGTCACCTCTCTCCTCATCGTTCAATTTGTTTGAAAAGTAATGATATTGATGTTAGTTCAATTTTGTCTCTGTAGATTGGTACCAGAACAGAATAATTAAATCTGAAAATCACTCACCAATTGAGACTTTTCTTGTGAGTTGAGGCAAGTCGATGGCAAAGCTTATCATTTCAAGATTTTCGTTCCCTGTTGTTCGGTTAGGCTTGCTGCTTCAAAGGATCTGTGTTTGTTTTTTTTTTAACTTGATTTTTATTATGAGAATTAATGAACAATTCTAAAATTGCAAATATTTAATTGTGTGAACTTAGGGGACCTCCACTAAGTGTGCGAACATATAGTTTGTCTACAGTAAGAACTCCCCCCGCCACAAAGTCTGAGACCATCTGCTCCCATGGAAACAAGAGTAGCACACTTTAAGGAGGGTAGCTTCTCTTCACTCCAGGGCTAACTTAATAGACCGACGAAAAAGATTCCATTTCTTTCACCGACCCGAGCCAAAACTTGTCCTATACAATGACCCCACACCCCTACTTGAAATAGTTATATCTCATTACCATAGTCACCTCCACGGGTCCAGGCGAATGGCTAGGGGAGTTCTTACTTTAGACAAACTATAATTAAAGCATCTTATTTTATCCTATTTGTTTATATGCATATTGAGCACTTTTTAATTTTATATAAAAAAAAATGTAATAAAATTTCCCTTCATGAAATTTATGAGGGTGAATTAGGGGTCGTATACTTTATTTTTAGGGGAGGAAAATAAATCTTGTATGATTGAAATTAATTGTTCTAAAAATTTGAATTGATCTCTTCATACTGTTTGCATAAATGAATTTTAAACATATTTACAATTCATTAATCACAAATATTTTAAAATAGTAAACTGAGGGTTAAATGGCATTACTTACTAATTGATTCATTAACATCAATTGAAATGTTTATCTGCATTTGTATCTAGAAAAACTTTTAAATTAAAAATATTAGGCTCTGATTAAAAGATATGAAGCGAATTACATGTGTGAGAAATATAATTAAATTTATTTTTCATTTATTAAAATAATTTTTTTAAATAGTTGTTTTTATTATTTTTTTTAACATTTTGTGATTTAAAAATATATTTCTAAAGTTTTATTAAGTTGCACAATATTTAACTTTCTCTCTTTTTTTTTCTACTTCAAAACTGTTATGGCATATCTATTAGTTTTATTTGTAGTTTCAATATTATGAAGTTTGTACATAAGGGACTGTCCTTCAACTGTTCAAAAATTATGGCATTTTATTTATCTTGTGGATTTGTGATTTTAATAATTAACTGTAATTATGATAATTTTATGAAGGAAAAAACATTCAATATTTTTAATTCATGATATTTGTAAAAAATTGCAAATTAAGGGCCCCTTCACTTATCTAATAGGTATTTTTAACAAATCTAGTTACCAGGGGTCTGTTTAGAAGAAATTTGGGTTCGTTAACTGACCCCTTCACAAACTATCTTTTTATAAAAATGGACCCTTCAAAAATATTTTAACTTAAAAACATACCCTTCACAAAATAATTTATCTTTTAATCGGGCCCTTCACAAGAGACACTCGAAAGATATTTGTGTTTGTAAGATGAAAGATATTTGTGTTTGTAAGTGGGCGGGAAAAATTGACTGATGCTGAGTGCTCAGCTATTAATAGATATTTTCAAGTCTACTGGCAATCGATGTATATTACTCTAATATTTTGTTAATCATGTTTATCTGCATGTTATTGACTGATGCTGAGTGCTCAGCTATTAATAGATATTTTCAAGTCTACTGGCAATCGATGTATATTACTCTAATATTTTGTTAATCATGTTTATCTGCTTAAATTCTAAGGCTAAGTTTGATCTCATTTCATTTATATTATGTACCTTAACCTCTTTGAAGTAAAAAAAATTTTATAAATTCCAAATGTAATATTCTAAGAAAATATTTCTACTTCTGCAAACATCGTGTGTACATTCTTATTGATATTAAATGATATTTTTTTGTAAATAAATAATTGAGCAATATATTATTCATAAAATTAATTGATAAAATATTATGTAAATAAACATTAACTTAGATCAATTTTTAAAAAAAAACTATTATAAATTTAAGAATTGTTTAAGTTTACTTAATGTGTAACACATTAGAAGTGATGCATAACTAAGTTATGTTACATAAAATATGTCAATTGAAATTATTAAAAATGTGAGTGATTTTGTCTCCATTATTCGTCCGAAAGGAATATTCTGTGTTGTACAGTATAAGCTAAGTACCAAATATTTGTATGTTGCCTCTCTAATTTAGTAGCAGCAATAGCTGTTTATTTTTGAAAATTAAATTTTTTAATTATAATTTTACAGTGTTGAGCATAATCTTGTTTACATTTGCAATTTAAAAACTCCTTGAAAAGGTTTTTTGCAATAACAGGACCCTTGTTGAAAGAATGGGACTTAACGCTTATTTTATATTCACAAATTACGAGTAATTTTTTCGCAATTTTTCAAAAACAGGACCTTTCACAAAATGTCTGGACAGACCCCTGGTTACAAATACTTAATGCTTTACCTTTACATCCAACCTTTAGCAGCAACTTAACCCACAATAGAAACTGAATTCCATAATTGCTCTGATGAAAAAAGGCATAGTTGTGAGATTGAAATGCTATGCATATATTAATGGGGTCGTTGTTTATACAACTTGATAAAAATTTAAAGATTCAATTACCAAATCAATTGTGAAGTCATGGGTTGTTTAAATAGTTAAAAGTGTATTAAGTAATATTTCAAAATAAATAGTTATTTTTAATGCTCGTTTATAAACAAACTTTACTTTTTCAGATTAAGTGGAAAAACGATCTGATTTATTGACAAATATCAGAAATGTCTAGCTACAACATACCAGAACGAGACTTCATGAGATGTTTCCGAAAGGCTCTGTCTGTTCCTTTTTTGTTGAATAATGTTTGCTCAACAAATATTCAAGAATTCGTTACAAGTTATGCTGCTTCACTTGGTTGCACAGAAAAAAGCTTCTTTTTTCCTCTTTTGACATGTGCTGCATCTTGTATGGGTACTGAGAGCTATTTAGAAATAATAAATCACTGGATTGAACCTCCAATTGTGTGGACTTTAGTTATTGCACCAAAATCACTGTTAAGAGTTGATGTAGCTGAACATGTAAAACAACATCTTCTTAAAGCTCAGAATGATACCTGGGTGCTACACAAAAATGAAGATACCAAGGATTATTTGAAAAAATTTTTGTTTGACATTTTTACTTTGGAACAGTTGCAAGAAATGTTAAAGTTAAGCAATGGTCATGGAATAGCTATTTATAATAGTGCAAGATCTTTGCATAAAAACATGTTGGAACCTGTAGAGGCTGATATAATGTTGCGGCTGCATTCAGGATTGGCTTGGTTTCAAGATTCTCGTGTCAGTCGAAGTACTGTAACTAAGACAAGAGTAAATTTTGCTATCATATCAACTCCTGCTGCTGTTCATCAAACATTGACTTCTGCCCCAAATTTCAAAGAGCTGTTTCATCAAAGCTTTTTACTAACGTGTACTGAAGACAGCCATGCAAAATTTAATCAAATTTCTGAAGTAAATAATTCAGATAAATTAGTTGAAATATTTACATCATTAATAAAACTTCATTGTTCTCATGGTCCCATTGTGTACAAGCTAAGTGCTGAAGGAAAGGAAAAGTTCAGCGAAATTCACGATGAGCTTACAGATAAAGCTAAGCAAATGGCCAGAAAAAATGCTGATAAAGTATTTCAGCCTGCTCTTTCTTATCTTGGACGTTTGACTTTAATTCTTCATGTTCTTGATAATGTTATTGATTCTATTAATTATCAAATACCTGTTTCTCATTTAACTTGGAACACAGAAATAAGTGCAAACACTGTTTGGCATGCACGAGAACTACTTAGTCATTTTATTGAACAACGACATGCATTGATGGAGGAATTGAAATTTCCCTCTCAATCCGGTGCTCCGACACCACCTATTGAAGTAGTAGATGGACAAAACAGAGTTGTATCTCGCAATATGCTTACTCCACCACAACGATCACCTCAAAATGTTATGATGAGGTCTAATAATTCTGTAAATACAGTCAATCCAGTAAATAATGTCAGAAGAAATATATTAAACAATTCTAGAGTTAGGCAGCCTGTTAGAAATTATCAACCACCTCTTCCTCTTAATAGTACTGTTGTTGAACCAATAATTCAGTCTGTGCGTTCAAATGCAATACCTGCTACTCAGACCATTCCTTTTAACCCTATCATTACAAATTGTGAAACCTTAAATAATAACTTGAATACAGAACTAAATTTGCCCACTGCTCTTTCAGTTTCGAGATCCGAAGATCAAGCTGACCAAGCAATACCTGTTCTTCTATCACGTGCACCAAATACATCCATTTCAGATATCTCTAAAGAGGATTTCATTCGAACCCAGAGGAATTCTTTAAAAAAACTGCTGAAACATACAACCGGGGAGATAACACCCTCTCGATGCGTGCAGCTTAAACTTACACCTGATGCCACCGCATCTGATGAAACTCAGAGGTACACTCAAAATTTTTCAAGGTTATTTCTTAAACGATTAGAATTATTTGGTTTTGGTATCTGTGAAGGAGCTAATAATGGCAATAAACGTCATTTTGTTTTTAAAAAGAAGAAATTTAGTGCTCTGGGAGATGATCAGAGACAAATTTTAAATGATCTTAATATCAGCGAGGTAGAGTATAATAAATGCTTTACCTCTGTGTCCATCGAAAACGAACAAAATGGCAAAGTTGTTTGTTTAGAATAAGTTTTTTATTTTGAATTTAGTGTAAATATCTTGTTTTTGTCCGTCTATTTCTCAGACTCTGGTTATTTATTAATGCCTGCAATTTTAACTACAGCATGTACATTTTAGGACATGTTAGGAACAGTTTTTTTGTATATATGTAGAAAGACAGATGAAAAATAAAGTTTATAGAAAATATTTTCTGCATTCTTTGCATTTTGCTTTATTTTTTTCAATTCTTTAAAAGTGATTTTTCAAAAAAAGAAAAAAAAATCCTTAATTAGCATTGAAATGTAATGATAGGTAAAGTTTGATGTAAGAAAAAATAACTTCATTTTTACTGTTTTAAAAAGTGTTTAAAAATATTTTCTTGCTCAATTGTATGTTTCAGTTTTTATTGAAAAAAATTAAATAATAAAAAACTAACATAGAGTTTTTCTTGAGAAGATAACAATAAGTACATAGGTAAAAATATTGCCCATTAAAACACTGCTAAAAATAAATACCTTTTTGCTCCAACTCTTAAATTTATTTCCTCAGCTACCTATTACTTATTTTAACAAAAAATTATGATGTTAGGTCCAAAATCTTCCGAATGCAGCATAAAAGTAAAAAAATGACTTAAAAAATTATTTGTAGTAAGAAAACAAGTGTCTTAAATTGAATGTCAAGGTTTCAACTTGTCATAGTTATGCTGGCAACCCTATGTTGAGCTCAATTTTTTATAACTGAGATGTACATGTGAATGATTGTAAGTTCTGTTCAACATTGCTGATTTTGTCTCTTATAAAACTTTCAAAATCTAGAGTTTGTGAACAATGACCCAGTTGATGTAAAAATGTTTAATTCTTTTGTTTGTTTCTTATTTTAAACTTAAAAATTATGTTTAACATTAAAAAATTGCTTAAAAACATCAGTGGTGTAACAAGAAGGGACATCTGTTTCCAGAAACAGCTTTAGAGGGGGGAGGGCATCGAATTCCTGATGGTTCCGAATTTAATACAAATTAATTCCGGAATAAAATGTATTTTGATGGCATTTTCCATCTCGTGTTAAACTGTTCTGAAAATCTCTGGTTTGTGTAGAGATACATTAACTTTTAATTTGATATATTGCATAAATCAGTAACAGTTGAAAATACCCATTCTAACAATTTTGTAGCAATTTTTTGGATTTAAAAAGTTAAGTTACAAATTTTCATTTCTTGCTTTCCGGATTGTTATTTAACAATTTGCACAATTTTATTGGAAAATAAACTTGGAGGAAAATTATTAATCAGGTATAGTTCACTTACAAGACACACACTTGTGTTTTCAGCAGTCTGAAGGAAATTACCATAAATTGATTAACTGATTCATTAAATATAGAATATTTTATTTAACTGTTTAAAGTATACAAGAATTGTTAGAAATAAATTGAAATAGTTTGAAACAAATAATGGGTTCTTATGAGTAATTTACGCACTAAAAAATATACTGAAAAATAATTTTTTATAGTTAAGTTTCATACTTTATAATAAAGATAATTTTGCAGTGTATTTTTTTTTTGCTTATCTTTTTTGCTATTCGAATATTTCTTCAAAGTATTCCTTATTTTCCTTGTAGAATCAGAATTTGAACGTTGAAGAATTGAAATCAAAACTCAATAATAAAAGTTAACGACTTAGCGCTAGTCAAGCTCTTGCAAAAAAAGGAAGAAAGCTGTGCATAATAATGGTAGAGTGGCAGTGGTTTGTAGAAATTGAGATGATGAAAACGATATTGGTCGAACTCTTTTTTTTTTTCTAACCGTCCTTGAACAGCCGGCCCAATTTTTGGGTTTACGACTACTAATGTGCAACTCTGTAGCCTTGTAATTTTGAACTCAAGCTAGAAGAGAAGGGAACTCCTGGATCGAGCATTGGGAGAAATTTGTTCTACCAGAAGACCACGAGAACCTCCTACGGTTAGCCTGACAGCAAAGGGATTCTAACTCATCTACCACGGAGGATATTTCACATCAGCACTGTGGACGGTGCAAGCCGGATGCTTATTCGTATCGACCAGCCATCGCTGGGATTTGGACCCGGTTCACCTTATTGGAAGGCAAACGCTTTATCCTCTGAGCTATCGTGGCTCTAACTCGATTCTTGTCACAATTGGTGGACAACAACATTTAGTTAAGATCCAACTCCTGTACTTTCAAACAATGAAAAACAATACAAGGAGTACTTGTGGCCCTTCTTGGCAGCCAATACATGACACTTACGATGAAAATTTGTCATTTCAATTCAATTTCAGTTGCAAAATTCGTCATTTGTGTATTGCAGTAAATGATTATTAAAAATGTCTAAGTTTAGTCAGTGTTGCCGTTAATGCTTAAAGGATTTTTTATTATAAAGTATGGGTATGAGTGGTTTGTGACAGACTATACTGTTTTTACTTCCTGAAGCTCATTAAATGACAATGTCTTATTTTTTATGCTTGCAAAAACTGGGTTGTTGTTCTAAGTTGTTAAGGCAAAGGGGCCATTTGTTCTTGTTTTCCAGTGGCGCCATCTATGGCCAAGAATTCGACTTCTGCCACATCCGTTTATACATCCATTCATTCATCCGCAGATCGTAATTTTGTGTCGTGCCTCGTTTCTTACTTAAAAACGATCTAAAAATCTTAATTTTTACTCGCGCTCTACACCATCAACTGACGTGCATTTACATTTGCCCTTTAGTTTTGTTAATAAATAATATTGATTAAATATGTTATCATTATTAATTATGTCAATAATATTAGAATATTTTCCTCGTTTTAATTTTATGGTATCATTAGACGAAACATTTAACTAATTATGCGTGATTTGATTAAACTTCTGAATTTATCAAAAATATGAGTCTTTTTGGTGCAACAGTGGACTGCATTTTACTTAATTACTGCATCTTACTTAGCTTATGCGAGGTGGGTAAGGTGTTATCAGGATAATTAGGTGTAATCAGTTTAATGACAATGATGGGAAATCCAACGAAAATAGAAGTCTCACACTTGAACCATATGTTCCAGATCAATTTGTAAGTAAGTATAATTTTGGTAATTATCGTGGTAATCAAGGGGTAATTAGCTAAATTGACAATTATGCTAAATAACGCATTCCAACCAATGATCTTTGCGAGCAATTTCATAGTTCTGCTATTAGATGGATGTACAGCGACGGGAAAAGCGGAATGTAACTTTGATCTAGTGCAGGGGTGGCGAACCTTTATACACCAACGTGCCATTTTCTCTAACAAATTGCTAAGTGAGGTCATAGACGTGCCGTCAAATAATTTTGACTTCGTGATTATTGGGAAAATAATAATACTAAATACTATCAACTCAAAACTCTTTATTTGCATCGAAAAAAAAAATACATTTTGCAATGTCTCAGTTATACACGTAATTCAACTTAAAGTAACATCAGTGTGACTTCTGTTGTTGCAGATTAGATGACCAATAACTTATATTTAGGTTGTAAGATGTTAGTTCAAGCAGGATTGTTGATTTTTTTTGCTAGTTATTTATTGTTTTTTTAGTATTAATTTTTTTATTAATAATTGTTTATTATTTTGTTTGTTTTTGTGAATTTTAATTTAATTGTTACATATGCTTCATAGCGTAATAACATTTGTGCAATAACAATTCATAGTGTAACAATTGTGATCTGTGGAGTGCCCAAAATATTGTGTCGATTGCCATAAATGGCACGCGTGCCATTGGTTCGCCATCCCTGATCTAGTGTTTCACTTACGTAAGTCTCAATATAAAAAGTCGTATATTTAGAATTTGATTTCTCAGTAGCTATTTGACCGATTTCGTTCACATTTTGTATTTTGCCTTATAAAATTACACTCTTTAATATGATTATAAATATTATTCTTTATATAATTATTCTTTAATATAATTATTTTTTGCATGGAGTTTTTTTTGGAAAAATGAATTTTATAGTTGTGTCCAAAAATTTTCCAATTCGCTTTAAATATTCTTAAAATATGCGAAACGCACAAATTTGGACCGCTATCCTGACCAAACTATTGGGATCATATATCCCTTATTGCGGCTAATATTTTGAGGGTAAGGAATACAAATCCGCCGAGAAAAAAAAATAGTGCGTGGAGTTCCTCCGCGAGGAAGAAGTTAAACTTCGTAACCTGCGACGTTAATTGTAGAAGAATCAGCAGACGTAGTAGGATCACTAGTTCTATTCAACGACTCTTTTTCCTGCTCCTCTCACTTCCGTGCTCTGTAATGACGGTAATATTGTGCATTTTTCCCTCGTGGACCTCTTGAGCCAGTGGAAGTGCTTGTGGTTGCCTTATCGTCTCGCCATGGAAAATGTATTTGTATTAATAATGTATGTGAATGCGTCATAATGTAATTTCAAAAGAGAAAACCTAACAATCAATTGATATTCACAAGAGACGTACCTTGACATAACCTTAAATCCGTCGCATTGTCCGTGGGATTGTTTTCACTCATTTTTTACAATTGTTATCCACTAAATTTGAAAATAAAAAATACTATCCTATTAAATTATATGTGTATCAAAACAAACTAAAAAAATATTTATAGAAAAACAATACTTTTATGACTTTTATTATTTTTATGCTAGTGAGAACCAAAACAATATGGAAATGAATGAGGGAAAACTGGATCCTACCACGTGATTTCCCGGCCAATAAAAATGTAGCGTTAAACGTTTAACGTAACCTTGTTGGAAGTCGCATAAGAAGTATAACTTCAAAAAAAGTTATGTTTATTCAGAATAAAATATCTCTCACACAAATTTATAATCTTAATTAAGATATTTTTTTAATTAAGATATAAATTTATAATCTTAATAGAGATATACCGGGTACCCAGTAAAATGTCAAAAAATATGATATGCAGTGTCTCTCAAAAGTGTTCGTACACTTATGACATACAATGAAATGGGGCTCTATCCATAAATAAAAATAAATTATTCAGAATGGATATTTAATAATACGATATACATTCTGTGCTTAGCAAAATTGCAATAACTACAAGATTACAAAATATGAAAACTGTTTTCATATTTTGTAATCTGGCAGTTTTATTACGGAAATATTTTAAATCATTCTTGAAAGATTCCGGTACGCGTAAATTCATTTTAATTCGCTCCTCACTATGTAGATTTCCTTTCGTGTACTCTTCTCTTATCTCTTTACATTT